GCAACAGAAGGGAGACTTAGAAAATGTTAGCTGGGCGTGGTGGCTCGTGCCTGTAATCCCAGCACTTTGGGAGGTGGAGGCAAGAGGACTACTTGAGTCCACATGGCTGAGTCCAGAGGTTCAAGACCAGCCTGGGCAACTTGGTGAGACCTCGTCTCTACAATAAATCAAAAAATTAGCTGGGCAAGGTGGCACGTGCCTGTAGTTCCAGTTACTTGGAAGGCTCAGGGGGAAGAATTGCCTGAGTCCAGTGGGTTGAGGCTGCGGTGGCCACGAGTATGCCACTGTACTCCAGCTTGGGTGGTGTAGTGAGACTCCAGCTCAAAAAAAAAAAAAAAAAAAAGGAAACACCATATTGCTCCAGGCAGTACAAAACAGGTGACAGGCCACAGTTTACAACTGTAGCTTGCCTGCCTTTGGATCTACAATGGCTACCAATCTTTGCTGCCCGTTGCACGTATATGAGGGATCTTGCCCAAGCCTCATTCTCAGAAATTTATTTAAATCTTCATAAAATTTATTTAGTGGGATCCAGTTATTAGTATTTTTCTAAAGTTCCCAGTTGAATCTAATATGAAGTCAGAGCTAAGAGCTGAATATTTGCTGAATTTGCTTCTTTTCTTTTTTTTAAGCCAAAAAAAATTATTCTTTATTTCATATGCCCATTTCAGCAGTACTGAAATAAAGATTTATTGGCCGGGTGCAGTGACTCGCGCTTGTAATCCCAGCACTTTGGGAGGTGGAGGTGAAAGGATTGCCTGAGCTCAGGAGCTTGAGACTTGCCTGGGCAACATGGAGAGACCTTGTCTCTGCAGTAAATCAAAAAATTAGCTGGGCAAGGTGGCCTGCGCCTATAATTCCAGCTACTTGGAAGGCTGAGGTGAAAGGATTGCCTAAACCCAGCAGGTCAAGGCTGTGGTAGACATAATCATGCCACTGCAGTCCAGCCTGGGTGACAGAATGAGACTCTGACAGGAAAAAAAAATGTTTCTATAGATTCAAAACATGAAATGTTGAGTGAATGTTACAGATCATAACAGAATCAGGATTTACAACAAAGTAAGAATAAGACAAAAGACTTAAGAATTATTATTCAAAATTTTAGTACAAATATAAAACAAGAATATAGGATATTGGTGATGTCAATATTCAAAATGGGTTTTCCCCCAATTATTAATTTCTCTGCTCCCCTCTTACCTAAAACCTTAGAAAGTATTCATTATAAGTTGGAAGTACAGAATTCATAAAAAACCAATTAGGCCGGGCGAGTTAGCTCAAACTTATAATCCCAGCACTTTGGGAGGCTGAGGCGAGAGGATTGCCTGAGTCCAGGGGTTTGAGACCAGCCTGGGCAACTTGAGACCTCATCTCCACAATAAATCAAAAAATTAGCTGGTAGTGGTGGTATATACCTGTAGTTCCAGCTACTTGGAAGGCTGAGGTGGAAGGATTGCCTGAGCCCAGCAGGTCGAGGTTGTGGTGGCCATGAGAATGCCATTGCACTCCAGCCTGGGTGACAGAGACTCTGACTCAAAACAAAACAAAACAAAACAATTAGATGATGAGTTGTATGATTCTTTTTACAGGTACAATGGACTCTTCATCAACCTGTAAGCCATTGAAAAAGTAACTCCATATCCTACAAAAAAAGAAAGCCAAATCTATATTGGGGAAAGGATGTCAAATGTGCAATTGTGTGGTAGATCCATGCTCTGACAGAGTCTGAAGTACAGGAGGGCTGTAGACAAATCTGGACCACTCAGGGAATACAGAAGGCCAATGCCAAGAAATGGAACAATGTTTTCAAGGTCATTCATTTATGTGGGCTCTTCATACATACTCCACTCTGTCATCTGCTTGAAGATACTTCTTGGCATTTTTCTCCTTTGCCAAAGGCTGTGAAGTCTACTGGGTTGGCAAAAAAATTTTTTCTCTTGATTCTGTAGAATGCAGTTGTAGTATTCATTAACATCATTTTTGAAAAAATAATTGTTATGCAGGAGGTGAAGGCCATGAATCCTTCATTTTTCATTACCTTGGTGAGTTCAACCAGTTTTTTAGTTTTGATCTGGAATCCAAACAGAGACAGAAATACAATTTCCTTTTGGAAGCGACTGATGGAAAAGTGAACCTTTAGCAGCTACACAGAGCTGAGAACTTTCTGACTGGCAGACACCCCCAAGCCTTATCCCCACTACCAACCCTTCCCCTTCCCACCACCACCTTCTCCCTGTCTATCCTCTACATCCATCCCTGGGCACCTACTGCTGAATTCATTTCTAAGCTTTGCCTACTTTGGGATTATTCTGTAGTGACTATCAGGTCACTAAAGCAGATCAGGAATATATCTAAATTAACTTCTAATTTAGTCAATCATCTTGGCCTTTTGACAATTCATACTTGCATGTTGAAAACAAATCTAGGAGATGTTCCATTTCAGTTTCTTCCCCTTGTTTAGAATACCTTCTGAGAGTTCGGTCGTAATCGATGGTCCTGTTCAAAAGTTACCCTCATTGTTGCTTCCTCCTTGGTCGGAGACAAAAAATGACTACAATTTGGAGATAAGTTTGGTATGGGAGGTTGGAGTTGATTAGATTTTGTTACTGCACATCTCTTCAAAAGATGGCACTTGTATTTTTGTTCTAACGCTTTGTTTCAAAACATTTTTAGCATTTTAAAAAAACTAGATAGACTGCAGACCTCACAATTTATTCCACTTATTTTAAGTAATATTTCATGTTCCCCAACATTTCTGATAGTTCAAAATTTTTTGTAGCATAGACTTATTTAATCCATGAGGTCCTTTTAATGTATAAATGACAATAGTGTGAGCTGTTGAATTGTTTGATTAGGTTATTCTCTGAACATTTCCATGTAATGTTTATATGGCACATAAATCCATTCTGATCACTGCTCAGGTCGACACATGCCATCTGAAGTTTCCTTTCCTTTCAAATGCTGCTACTTTCCTATACAGTTTACATCAAACTTGAGCAAGATTCTTCCCTCCATTCTTCACGGACTTCATTTGAAGACTCTGAGACTTTAAAATGTAAACACAGCACAGCTTGAAGCTGAACACAATCAAAAGCTGCTCTGAGTTAGAGGACTCAAGTCACAACATACGATTCCCCATACATGGTACCTTTTTGGGTATCATGTTGCCCTGACCTGCTGCTCTCTTCCCAGTGTAAGGGCCCTTGAACTTTCATCAGTCAGATTTCTGAAGCCTCATATTCCATTCCTTCTTCCTAAGACATGGCATAAATGTGGCCCATAAAGGAAGGTGAGTCCAAGTAGCATATCTATTTGTTTTGTGTGTGTGTGTGTGTGTGTGTGTGTGTGTGTGTGTGTGTGTGTTGGAGTCTCACTCTGTTGCTCAGACTGGAGTGCACTGGCATGCTCCTAACCACTATAGCCTTGACCTGCTGGGCTCAGGCGATCCTTCTGCCTCAGCCTTCCAAGTAGCTGGAACTACAGACATGCACCATCACACCCGACTAATTTTTTCCATTTATTGTAGATATGAGGGCTTGCCAAGTTGCCTAGGCTGGTCTTGAACCCATGAGCTCAGGTAATTTTCTCACCTTGGCCTCCCAAAGTGCTGGGATTATAGGCGTGAGCCACCGTGCCCGGTCCAGGTAGCACATCTATTAAAGTAATAGTCTGGATTGATAGATTCATTCTGTAGCACAGGTAATTGATACACTTTTAAATAATTCAATATGTGGTCTTGCATTGTCTTTGAGTGCTATTCAAAGATTGATCCCTCTACAAACAATTTGGACTTATATTTGGCCCACTAGACCAGTAACTCCAGAGTTTGACAAGAAAACTGAAACTTCCTCTGTAAGTGACCAAGGACTTGGATTCATAGCTCCCACTAATTTTCTTTCCTTTTTTTTTTTTGAGACAGGATCTCACTCTGTCATCTAGGTTGGAGTGCAGAAGAGTGATTCCAACTTACTGCAACCTTGATATCCTGAGCTCAAGCAATCCTTCTGCCTCAGCTTCCCAAGTAGCTGAGACTACAGGCACATGCCACCACGCCTGGCTAATTTTTGTATTTTTTGGAAAGATGAGGTCTCTCCCTATTATCTTGGCTGCAACCAAATTCTTAAGACCTGTTTTTCAGTTTCCAATTTCAAGTTCTGTTCCAAAACCCTAATGTCTCTGTGATATTTCAGTATTTAGATAGGACTAGAATGTTTTCAGTTTCCTAAAACAATGTTTTTAGTTTGCTCTTTTTCTTGATTTATGCTTTCTCTTTGTCCATTTCAATAGATAATGGAGAAATTGACCCTAAGGCTATGTGGGTTATTATAATTACTGCTACTACTACGATTACCTTATATTTAAAACATTATCTGATTAAAAATAGAAACAAATAGAAAATAAACTAAGACCCCTTAGTTGCCAATGTTAGAATCTATGTGTGAAAGAATCATCAACTGCTTATGAGATATCAGTACTACCTCCAAATAAACATAGACAATAGTTTCCAGGGAAATAAAATAAAGTCATGTGCAGACTTTGAAGGGATGCTCCAAAGTCCCAAAGACTCTCTTTCCTTGAGGGTGAGGGAAATGGTAGAGGCCCTGAGGATGCTTCAAAGTTTGCTTAGAGACCTAGAGCGAAAATAGTTCTCCTTTTGATACTGTTAGGCAATGATTTGAAAGGGTATCTCAAACACACACTCACTCTCATTAGAATGCAGCAGGAAGTGGTTTTATTGCTGTGATCACAGTGCAGTAAAGCTTGGCAAAAGTTGTTATGTTCAAAATCTGAAAGTCTAAACCTTCTTTGTACTATTCCCTACTGCCTTTCCTCAAAACACACAGAACTCCAAAGCAGAAAAGAATCCTATTTCTTTTTGTTCTAACTCTGGTCTGGTATACTAGATACTCTATTTCTCCCAACACATTCCTTCTTTCTTGTGTGGGACAAAGGAAATCAACAAAAGAAAAAAAAAAGCAGAAGTGGAAAGAGTACTCTCCAAATGAGTGGAAAAGTGATGGACACCTTAGACAATATTATCTAAGTGTACAGGAACCAAAGGATAGGGGGGGTCGCTCTTCTGAGGGGGGTTACAGGCGATAGTGAATAATTTGTATTGGGCAGTGGCACTGTAGCGGCACTTAGGATACTTTCCTGAAGTTAGTCTACAGTCAGTCATGTTGACAGGCTTTGAGCTCTGGTGGCAGTTTTTCCAACCATTTTTGCAAATAATGGTGACTAAATTACAGACAGCAGCTACGTTCTGGAAAGAATCATGCAGAAAGGTGTTTTGAGGTTTACAGTGGTGGGTATAGTTGTTGATGCCATTCATTGCCTTGTTGCATCGGAGAGGACTTGACTGTATATGCTGAATTTCAAACCAATGTGCTTTGGTGAGATGCTTAGGCAAAGTCAAAAGTGGACACACTTGTTCCCATAGTCCCAGCAGCAATAGAAGATTAAAGCATAGCATCATCTTTTCTGTGTAAAAAGAAGGAAGGTAATTATAGTAGTAGAAGCATTTAGGAGCAAAATTGTTAATTATCACCAGATTTTTATTGTCTTTTAAGATCTCATAATTTTTAAAGCCATCTTCTTTCTTACATAAAATCTCATAATTCTATGAAGAACCTGAAGCCAAGTGAAGAGAAATATAATGCCTTACCAGCAGACTTTTCCTTTGATTGACTGGTCCCATTCTCTTTGATCTGTACTCATGCATTTGATAGCCCTCATGTTAGAAACCTTATTCCTTCCCTCTTCCCCCCTGAAATATTTACCCTCTATCTATTTGACCACTACTTCCCAACCATCTTCACTCCCCTACCCTGAGGCTCTCCTCTTACCTGGTCTCAGTGTTGAAGCTCCTGCTGAGAACGGAGGCAGTGGTTAGTCCCAGGCTCTAGAAGCTTTTGTCTTTCTTCTCTAAGTCTTCCAGCACTGCTCGTGTGGTGTTCTGAACTCTAAGAAAGAAAAACTTAGGACTTGGCAGATAAACTTTCTGCACAAAATGTGGATTAGACTTAGACTTTTAAACCTGCTCTTCAAGACAGTATTATTATCACTGTATACACAGGAAGACGAAGCTCACTTAAACAAGATGACTCAAAACTCACAGTTTTGTGGAACTGATCACTTCCTGATATGGGTTGAGTCCTTCCTATTTGATCTGAGGCTTCAGTTTTTTAAAGCTCTATGATTTCAGTTCCTTAAGAGAAAATATGCCATGTAAATCTGATATAATAGCTGCCATATACTTGATAATGCTATGGGTCCCAACAACATAACCAATTATTCATTTATGCATATGTCTATTGGACCAAATACTGGACTATACAAATTCTGGAGCTCATGATTTCATGAAAGACTCAAGAAATGGTTGAGTAAGTAAATAAACAAGTATGTTATACATTAATATAAATAGCACTGACAGTATATTGGAGGACACTACAGGAGATTATGGGGAGATAGCACAGGGGTAGGATTATTGGAAAGTACAACATCTGAACTGAATTTTCAGGAATAATTTGAAGTTAGGTGAAGAGAATGCTAAGGGTCTCCCCAAAAGGGAACTGTGTATGAAAAAAACCCATAAACATGAAGGAGAAAGGGCAAATATAGGATATTTTCCTCTTGAATCTGAATCTTTGTATTTGTGCTGCTGTACCCTTATTGAGAACCTCATTGTCTGATGAAGGGGCCACATAAAAGCCTCCTACTGCTTCTAGTTTTTTTTTCTTTCAATTCATTCTATACATTACTTCCACATTTGTATTCCCTGAGCGTAGATATAATGGTACAACATTCTTGCCCTGTGCTTTCAATGTTTGCAAATATCTACAGGATAAACATGATTTCTGTTTATAGCAAGGTGGCAGGATACAAGATTAACATACAAAAGTCAATTGCTTTCTTATGTACAGCAATAAACAACTGAAATTTAAAATTAAAAACAATACCATTTACATTTCACCAAAGAAAAGTGAAATACTTAAGTATTAATTTAACAAATTATGTAAAGATTGATGTAAGGCAAAATTTCAACTCTAATAAAAGAAACTGAAGAACTAAATAAAAGCATACATATTTTATGTACAAGGGTAGGAAGACTTAATATGCTAAGATGTCAGTTCCTTCCAACTTGATCTAAAGATTCAGCACAATCCCAATCAATATCCCAGCACATTATTTTGTGAATACTGACAAACTGATTCTAAAGTTTATGTAAAGGTAAAAGATACAGAACAGTCAACCCACTGGTGAACAAGAAGAACAAAGTCAAAGGACTGACACTACCCAACTTGAAGACTTACTGTAAAGTTACAGTAATCAACACATTGAGGTATCGGTGAAAAATAGACAAATAGGTCAGTGAAACAGAATAGAAAGTCCAGAAATAGACCCACACTAATATAGTGAACTGATCTTGACAAAGGATCAAAGACTCTATAATTGAGAAAATATAGTCTTTTTTAAACAGATGGTAGAAAAACTGGAATTCCACATGCAAATAAATAAATCTTTTCATATACCTAGATTTTACACCTTTCACAAAAGTTAACTTAAAATGAAACACAGACCTACTTAAATGCAAAATGCAAAACCATAAAAACTCTAGAGGATAACATAGGAGAAAGCTAGACAGTCTTGGATTTAGCAATGATGATTCAGATATAACACCAAAAGTGCAATGCACAAAAGAAAAAATCGATAAGTCACTCTTCACTAAAATTGAAAACTTTTGGCTAGATGTGGCAACTCATGCCTATAATCCCAGCACTGTGGGAGGCTGAGGTGGGAGGATTGCTTGAGCCCAGAAGTTCGAGAGTAGCCTGGACAACATAGTGAGACCTCATTTCTTTTTCTTTTTTTTTTTTTGAGTTGGTGTCTCACTCTGTCACCTAGACTGAAGTGCAGTGGCCACTCCTGGCTACCGCAGCCTCGACCTGCTGGGCTCCGGCGATCCTTCCACCTCAGTCTTCCAAGTAGCTGGAAATACAGGTGCGCACTACCAAGCCCGGCTCATTTTTTGATTTATTGTAGAGATGAGGTCTCGCCAAGTTGCCCAGGCGGGTCCCGAACCCACATGCTCAGGCAATCCACTCACCTCAGCCTCCCAAAGCGCAGGATTACAGGCTGAACCACCGAGCCCGACTGTGAGACCTCATTTCTACAAAAAAATTTAAAAAATATTCAGGTATTCAGGTATGGTGACATGCTCCTGTAGTTCCAGCTACTTAAGAGGTTGAGGTGGAAAGATCACCTAAGCCCAGGAGGCTGCCCAGAGACTGAGATGTATCTAATAAAGAAACTTTGCTCAAAATATACAAAGAACTCTTTTTAAAAAAACTCAACCATAAGAAAAAAAACCAACCCAATTAGAAAATAGTCATCATCAATAACTCAAAAAACAACAGATGCTGGAGTGGATGCGGCGAAAAGGGAACACTTCTACACTGTTGGTGGGACTGTAAACTAGTACAGTCTCTATGGAAAACAGTGTGGTGATACCTAAAAGATCTAAAAATTGACATTCCATATGACCCCACAATCCCCCTAATGGTAATATAAAGATACCAGCATACGCATGTTTATTGCAGCATTGTTCACAATAGCAAAAACATGGAGTCTACTGTGCTGCCCATCAAAAGAGGACTGGATTTTTTAAAATGTGGTACAGCTGGGCTCGGTGGCTCAGCCTGTAATCCCACGCCTTTGGGAGGCTGAGGTGAGTGGATTGCCTGAGCCTGCGGGTTCGAGACCTGCCTGGGGAACTTGGTGAGACCTCATCTCTACAATAAATTAAAAAAGTAATCCAGGCGTGGTAGCGCGCGCCTGTAATTCCGGCCACTCGGAAGGCTGAGGCGGAAGGATCACCGGAGCCCAGCAGATTGAGGCTGCGGTGGCTGGGAGTGGCCACTGCACTCCAGTCTTGGTGACAGAGTGAGACTCCAACTCCAAAAAAAAAAAAAAAAATGTGGTACATATGCATGATGGAATATTACACAGCCACAAAGAACAAAATAATGAACTTCACAGTAACTTGGATGGACTTAAAGTCTATAATACTGAGTGATGTTTCACAGAAGCAAAGAACTGAGTATCACATGTTCTCACTCCTAAGTGGACCTTGAGCAATTATTGTAATACTATCAGAAAAGAATTGGCAGTAGTGGGAAACTTCCAGGGGTGAGGGGGGCGGGGAAGCAGGATTGGTAGTAGTGAGAATCTGCCAGGGAAGGAGGGCGCACCTCATCAACAAGGGTAACTGCATAACAAACATTTGTATATCTAACCCTGATTTATACCCCGCATCTTTAAAATAAAAAAAGAAAGAAAATAGGCATGGGGGAAAGAGAATTTTCTCTTCTCCTCCGATGGTTCAAATTTGCAGAAATGAACAGACAGTAGGCAGATGGTTACCTCCTTTGCGTGAGCTTTGAGTATGTAAGTGTGTTTTCTCCAAAAACATCTTGACTAGGTACAGACAATCTTGGCCAGGGGCCATCTTCCTGGTCAGGGGGCAGTCATCAGGAGAGGGTGAGCGGGACATACAGATTTGCCTCACAACAGTGTTATAGGAGAAAAGGCATACAAATGTTTTAAAGTGCATAAGCATGAGACCTATACAAATTATGATACCTATTAGCATAGTTAAAATCCCCCAAAATAAAAACTGACATCACCAAGCTGGTGAGGAAGCAGAACAGCAAGAATACCAGTTAGCTGCTGGTGGGTTTCTATTTCCAGAGGCGTATTTTAGGATAACTTATTCTTGTTTCCTATAAGAGAGACCTCAGTTAGTCTTGCTGGGATCTCATGAACATTGCCTGGCTCAGTAGGGGAGACTCTGCAACTTAGCGGATGGCCCTACCAGCACTGCACACAAAATGTAAGAGAAATGAATATACAGGTATCTAAATAAGGGATGAATACTGGGAAAGTCAAAGCAACAAGAGGAAGTTATTATGCTAAGGGCTCTTAAATACATTTTCCTCTTATAACATTTTGATCCACTATCTGGTAACCCTTTAATAAAAGCAACTTCTAAAATGTTTCTTATGAAGTATTTGTGAGAATTTACTGTAGGGAACCAGAATATGCCACCCAAAATATGCTTTTGTAGCATAAAGATTATTTTGAACTGTTTATTTTGAGAAACAGTATATATGACATATGAGAAGCTCTGAAAATAGAGTATACATTATCCTTTTGTAAGAAAAATTTACATTTATAAAGGAAATCTTGCCGGGTACAGTGGCTCATGCCTGTAATCCCAGCATTTTGGGAGGTTGAGGCAAGAGGATTGCCTGAGCTCACAGGTTCAAGATCAGCCTGGGCAACTTGGCGAGACCTCATCCTACAATAAATCTAAAAAAGGCTGGGCATGGTGGCACGGCCCTGTGGTTCCAGATACTTGGAAGACTGAGGCGGAAGGATCTCCTGAGCCCAGCAGGTCGAGGCTGTGGTGGCCAGGAGCGTGTCACTGCACTCCAGCCTGGGTGACAGAGTGAGACTCTGACTAAATAAATAAATAAATAAATAAGTGAAATCTTTATTCACAAGGATGCCTCACTTTCTGTACCAGAAAGAGAAAGATGACTAGATCATAAGAGACCTTTATCAATAGAAAAGGTAGTGACTTAACTGTGCATGACAAGCCTTTCCCTTGTTTACAATACTTTTCCTGGTTATTTCCTTATAACTTATTTCTCCATATTCTTCCTTTGTTTTACCTCGAGATGGTCTTTAAGCCTAAGGACTTGCCACCAATTTGAGCTATTCCCCAAGTTTCTTCCTTGTTATAAGAGATGTACATGTTAATATACTTATTTGCTTTTCTCTTGTTAATCTGACTTTTGCTATAGGTGCCCCAGTCAAGAACCTAAAAGGGTAGAAGGAAAATATTTTTTCTTTCCTATACTACATTTTGAAGAGCATTTGTCAAGTGAGAAAAACAATCAGTATTGCTTTTTCCCATATGGAGGGTGATCACTAATGAAGAACTACTGGTTTAATACAAATCCCCTGTGAGATGGGTTGGTATAGGTCATCATCCCCAGAGGTCTGCTCATCCCCAGGTGCACTCAAAAATTGAAAAGTTGAGGAACTGCCCTTGGAACATGATGACCAATCTGGATACACTGACTACTCATTGAGACCAGAGTCCTAGAAAGATGCGCAGTCATCAAATTGAAATTGTTGATGCTTTGGTCTTTTCTCTAACTGTTTCAAGCCAGAGTCATTCAACATTGCAGGAGGCTGAAGAACACAAAGTACCTCAACGGTTAGCATTTTCCCTTCCCATTCCCTCCCCACACCCTAGGCAAACTTATGCAAAGTAAACACTTTTCTTACTTTGTATCTCTCCTCCACACTTAGCAAACAGTATTTCTCCTGGACTCTACTTGCTTGTAAGCCTAGCATTTCATTTTCCCATTTACTGCCTCATCCCTCCAACAAAATTTAAGTCCTAAGTAACATTCTTGAGGAGTCTTGCATTTTAAAGTCCTCCAAGGTAGAGGAGAGAGAATTGCCTGAGTCCAGAGGTTCAAGACCAGCCTGGGCAAATTGGTGAGACTCCATCTCTACAATAAATAAAAAAATTAGCCAGGTGTGGTGGCGCATGCCTGTTGTTCCAGTTACTTGGAAGGCTGAGGTAGAGAATCACCTGAGTCTAGCAGGTTGAGGCTGTGGTGGCTGTAATTGTGCCACTGCACTCCAATCTGGGTGACAGAGTGAGACTCCTACTAAAAAAAAAAGTCCTCCAAACGCCATCCTATGTTTCTGCCATGGGACAAAGGTTATTATTAGATAAAATAATTTGTGCTAGTATCTTCTACTGGATATGTCATCTTTAGAAAATGCAATGCCTTAGTCCAGCAGTCCCCAACCTTTTTGGCATCAGGGACTGGTTTCATGAAAGACAGTTTTTCCATGAACTGAGGTGGGGGGATGGTTTTGCAATGATTCAAGCGAACTACATTTATTGTGCCCTTTATTTCTATTATTACTGCATTGTAATATATAATGAAATAATAATTATTATGGAATTATTATTTTGACGTGTCTGCAGACAATTGATTTATTATGATCTCTGTTCACTCAAACCTCACTGTTAATGTCAATCTGTATTTGCAACTGCTCCCCAGTGCTGGCATCACCATCTCAGCCTCACTTCAGATCATCAAGCATTAGATTCTCATAAGCAGTATACAGCCTAGATCCCTGCATTCACAGTTCATGAAAGGGTTCATGCTCCTATGAGAATCTACCTAATGCTGCCACTGATCTGACAGGTGGCAAAGCTTAAGAGGTAATGGGAGCGATAGGGAGCAGCTGTAAATACAGATGAAGCTTCGCTCACTCACTGGCAGCTCACCTCCTGCTGTGTGGCACTGTTCCTAACAGGCCACGGACCGGTACCTAAATTATTTTGACCTTAAAAGATGTGATTACAGGCTGGGCACAGTGGATCATGCCTGTTATCCCAGTCCTTTGGGAGGTGGAGGTGAGAGGATTGCCTGAGCCCAGAGGTTTGACACCAGCCTGGGCAACTTGGCAAGACCTCATTTCTACAATAAATCAAAAAAGTAGCCAGGTGTGATGGCCCACCTGTAGTTCCAGTTACTTGAAAGGCTGAAGTGAAAGGATCACCTGTGCCGTGATCAAGGCTGTTGTGGCCGTGGGCGTACCACTACACTCTTGCTGGGTAACAGAGAGACTCCGACTCATAAAAAAAAAAAATGTTATTACAGAGCCTGAGTCACATGTCAGGAAACTCTAATCAAAGCAACCATAACTTTGGTCTCCAATGATAGATCATAGCTTCTTTCTTACTTATCTTGTTTTGTGAAATAAATTGTAAACGACAGAAGGCCACCAGGGAAGACCCCTTCCCGCTCCTCTATTCATCTTCATTATGGATTAAGTTCTCTCCTTCTGTTCTCACTCAGACATGGTACCCGTCCGTGGCCTGGTGGTTGGGGACGCCGGCCTTAGCCCATCTAAAATGCATTGGCCTTCTTAGGAACATCCTTAATGAACTGAGTTCCGTGGTAACATTTGTAGGTCTGTGGTTGTGGGGAAGGGGTTCTTTTTGATTCTGGACTTGTAAAGCTTTCGTACAGATGATGTCTTCCTGTATTTTTATTTTAGAAATCCACATCTGTGGGGTCAAGGAGAGCATATGGTTGATGAGCTGCTGTCATGTTTGTTTTATCAAAGTCAAAATTAAAATACAAAGCCAAGAATAAGATGGAAAGAGAATCCGTTTTCACTATGCCACCTACTATGAGTCAGACATTTTTTTTTTTTGACTTGGAGTCTCACTCTGTCACCCAGACTGGAGTGCAGTGGCCGCTTCCGGCCATCGCAGCCTCAACCTGCTGGGCTCCAGCGATCCTTCCGCCTCAGCCTTTCAAGTAGCTGGAACTACAGGCTCACGCTACCACGCCCGGCTAGTTTTTGGTTTACTGTAGAGACAAGGTCTCGCCAATTTGCCCAGGTGGGTCTTTGAATCCACGGGCTCAGGCAATCCACTCACCTCAACCTCCCAAAGCACGGGATTACAGGCTGAGCCACCGAGCCCGGCTGAGTCAGACATTTTATAATAACCCGGCTCTGGCCATTTGGGCACAACTAAACATGTCATCATGGTGAAAATAAATAATTCAAAATCTAAGCTGTTAGAACTTGAAATTATTTTGACCCTAAAATAATGTGATTGCAGAGCCTGAGTCACATGCCAGGAAACTACTCAAAGCACCTGTAACCTTGGTCTCCAATTAAAACTTATAGCTTCTTTTCTACTTGCCTTGTTTTCTGAAATAAATTGTAAATGACAGAAGACCACTGGGGAACACCCTTTTCTCTACTATTGATCTTCATTATAGATGAACTTCTCTCCTGTTCTCACACAAAGACTGCATGGCTATCACATTGTCTTAAGATGAGATGTTAAATACCCTCATTAAAATTGGAACGGAAATGAGAATCAGTTATAAAGAAAAGTAAACAATCTATGCAGGGTGAAAATAACCGAATTGTAAATAATTAATTTGTAACTCTTAAACCAGCCTTGTATTGAAAATGTTGTAATTTTATTAAAATTCTTTTTTGTTTTCCTAAAGAAACAAGAATTTAACTTTTAACTTTGGAACACTAGCCTCAGTTCTCTAAATTCAGGGTGTTATGGAATGTCCATTTCCAGCTTTTCACTTGAATCAACTCTTTGGATCCTGGGACTTTTGACTTTTTGAAATTGATACAATCAAACCCTAGATCACAACTTGTCTCTGGTTTCACACATAAACATTAACACCTTCAGCATACACATAATTGTACAAATACATTAGACACACACACAGACAAAATGCACTTTAAACCTTTGTTGATGAAAAGATATCAAACTCTGTAGTCTTTTAAGATGGTTTATTCTTGTGCTAAATGTAACACTGTGGTTGAATGGTGGCTTGGTTTTAGGAAGGCAGAAGTTACAAGAAACCACAAATCAATACATGTGAGACTTTCGTTGGTTTGGCCCAGGAAGGAGGGACATTTCCAAGGTGTGTGGGAAGAAGTTGCAGGTCATAGGTGGATTCAATGATTTCTTGACTGGTAATCTTGTAGTTCCTATCTAGAGGAGATGTTTTGTTAAGATAAGGGGCTGGGAAACTCCAGGTTTGTTGATATGTCGATGAAGTCTTATATGTGGCAGACTTCAGGAAGGATAGGTAAGTATCTTACAAGGCTCCCTGGAGTCTGGGAATACATAAAAGGTGGCTTCACAGGCCACAGATCTTCTTTATTTGTTATGTTATATTATGCCAGAGTCAGGTTGGAAAGCAAACTTTAGGATATAGGGTCACAGGGTAATAAAATCCGGTCTTGTGAGTCTTTATCAGTCAGTGACTCCTCAAGCTTCTTACGAATTTGGGTAAGAGAGAAAAAAAAGGTGAGATTTAACCTTCACCCTATGCACAGCATGAATCACATCCAAGCATAATCTATATCACACACCTGTACCAATCACAAACACATTCTCTGCCCACATAAAACATATAAATATCACACATATTGGAATAATATAATTTATTTAGAAAGGGGAAGCTTATTTGGTTTGGGTAGGTACAAGGATGAGGAAAACTCCGGGATTAGGCAAGAAGGGCTGCCATATGAACTGAATCTTGAAAAAAATGTAGGAGTAAATTAGGTAAAGGAAAACAAAAGTGTATTCTAGGCAGAGAGACATAAGCAAGGTCATGATATCAAGGAACCACATGATACAGAAATCTAAGCAGCTGGAAAACATTGAGAAAGTGGAAAGTTCCCGGGGTTATTGATTAGGTAGGGATGACCACTAGCAAAGCACTGAATACTCTACCAAAATCAAGGCTAGGTAGAGCTTCTAGCTGCTTATGGGCTCCACCATCTTCAGGTCTTCTATGCTGTCAACATACCCATCCATGCTACAGTGGAATTCAATGTAGTTGAGGCTTCTGCTCTCTATGTACTTGTTGTACTTCTCTCGGTGACACTTGAGTACTTTGAGGGCATTCTGAACCCATATGTATGCATTTCTGTAGCGGTCGTTCCAGCTGTCACTAATGCATACATGCTCAATTTTGTACCAGGAGACATAGATGAACATATGAGAGATCTTGTTTTTCAGAGCTTCTTTTTCTCTCATGAGGATGTCACATTTGTACTCTTTGAATTCTCGACTTGGACTTAAGTGGTGCTGTTCCATGAATTCTCTCCAAGAAACATTCTTGCTATGTGCAAGCAGCCTGCCTAGGATGCAAAGCAGGGCCAAGACAGTGCCCTGGATCCCTAGAGGGAATGCCATCTCAGTTACTAGGGCCACCTGCATGTTCACAGAGAAGAGAAAGAAAACATTATTTAGACACTACACAGAGAGCTGAGCTTCATCTTAAAACCCTTTTCCCATCTCCTGTCTTCCATCTCTTCCACCCAGCATGAGGAGAACCCTCTAACTAGCTTCTTTTTATTAGATCAACTCTCAAGAGTTAATGTTTCCAAAAGAGAATAATATTTTAAGTTTGTGTCTATGAAGTGGAAAGCATTGTACTTTTAAGGTAATATACAAGAAGAGTAACTACTTGGGAGGTATTTCCTAGGCTGGAAGGCTTTGGTTCCCAGAAATCACAGCTTAGGTTGCAATTACAATGACTCTGTAAAAGGATGCTTGTTTAACCTTGACTTTCTTGCAGGGGTTCTCTGAATCGCCTGTGTTTGAATGGTCGCATCACTGATGAGATGAGGGAAGTTTTCTTGGATAATTTCATGGAATGTTTGATGGGGGGGTGGTCTGTCTCTCTATCTACTAGCCTTGTCTTCCTTATAACACTACCGCAAAGCCTGGTTGAAACATATTACCCCTACTAACTACTCACATTCCTTCTCAGGGACCATTTTCCTAGTTATCATTATTACAAATGCTCTTGATTTGTCCGAGCTGCTTGTTGAAAATGCCAACATAAAGGAACTCCAGTTTTGAAATATTGCTGTAATCAATCAGTCAAGTACCAAGACTAAAACTGTCCTCACAGGGGCTACTCTTGTGATAGCATAGGATGTAGAGTTGTTTGAAAAAGTCTCCATTTAAACCAGCCCTCTGTCCTACCATGAGGAGTGTACCTGGCCCTTCTAAATCTCAAACCTGATTTGCAACTCTGAACATCAGTGTCCTCAAGTGTATATGTGAAAGTTTAATGAGAAACATATATGTGAGAGCACTTCTAAGGATGTCAGATGCCTGCATGCATCCAACACAGAAAGAGGGATTGGTATTTTCTCACTAGTGAGACCCATCCTGGACATAAAATCCTAAACAGGATCGGTAGACCAAGATGCAGACTGCTTTTATGTATTACGCTTGAGAAGACTGGAGGGTGGAGAAAGTGAGGACTAGGAAAAAGATGGTAGCTGGGGGCTTAATGCCGACATGAATTCAGACCTTTGTTTTCTATGATTTGTTATCTAAAAGTTCGACCTCCTTCCAGAGTTCCTGGGTCTTTCCCCCAAGCACCCGTTGCATCACCCCTTCTTACCCTATTCAAATTCAGCGCTTGGGTCCCTGGTTGGAGTGGGGATCAGTATGTGAATTTGAAGAGCAGAGTCTGTGTCTTCCTTTTCTTAGAGCCCCAGAAGTCTGCAGAAGTGGAGAAAAGAACTGCAGTGTGAGGAACCACTCTCCAGTTAACTGGTAGGGGAAGTGGTGGTGGGGAACGGCCTTATCATGTGAACCTGTTCTTATATCTTCTCATCCAGAACACTTAGGTTCACTAAGGCAGTAGCCTCGAGCAAAGGCTTAAACATCAAAGACTGACCCCTGGGCACAAAAGAATTGTAAGACCCTGGAGTATAGTCATTACAGAAAGGGGTTATCTGGAGCTTTCAGTGAGACAGAGCAGAAACCTTTTCTTTAGGGACCTGTGGACCCCTAAGCGCAAAGTAAAGGAAAATCTGAGTTCCTTCAAGGGAAACTCCAGGCATCTGGCTAGCCACAGAAGCAAATAAATAACTGTCATAAAAGTGAATAAGAGTAGCCCAAAACAGCTGGATGCAATGACTCATGCCTATAATCCTTGCACTTTGGGAGGTTGAGGTGGGAGGCTTGCTTGAGCCCATGAATTTGAGACCAGCCTAGGCAACATAGTAAGACGTTGTCTCTCTAAAACAAAAAGGTAAAAAAAAAGTTAGCAGGGCATGGTGACATGCACCTGTAGTCCCAGCTTCTTGGGAGGCTGAGGTGGAAGGATCACCTGAGCCCAGGAAGTCAAGAGTGTGGTAAGCTGTGATTGTGCCATTGCACTCCAGCCTGGGTGACAGAGTAATACCCTAACAAAAATAAAATAAAATAAAATAAAATAAAATAAAATAAAACAATAATTTAGGATGTTAGAGTTTCAGATATGTTTATCTTCCCTGTTTGTCCATAAATTGCACCTTTGATGAGTGTTACTAAACTAGTATTGGTTTCCCTATAGAAACTATCTTATGTCCCTGAGTTGTCTTTCAGAAATTTTATACTACTGAGGACACCAACCAAATGGATTCCCTAGCACATAGACCTCGAATAAGGTGGAATTGAAGACTGAACTTTTACTATCATCCTTTGCTGCAAGTTTCCCCTTGAAGAGCTGAATAAAGTCATATCCCTGAACCAGTTAACATTTTAATTTCTGCTGACCCCCAAATTTTAAGCAAACCTACTCTTTCTTAGCCAATTGCAAATCAGAAAATTCTTGAATCTATGACTTGAAAGCCCTTGTGTTGATATCCTACTCTTGTAGGTCTAAGCCAATGTGTAATTTCCATGTATTAATTTTGCTTATAACTTCTGCTTCTGAAATGTGTTCCTGCCTTTAAAAACTTGCCTGAAAGCCATCAGAGAGATCAGAATTTAGCTGCCTGGTCCCACTTGCTTGGCATGCTGCAAACAAACAGCTTTCCTTTTATTGCTGCTAAGTCCTTGGTGTAGATATCTGGCTTTACTGCATGGGTGAGCAGAACCTAGTACAGTTCTGTAACATAGAAGTCAACCAGAGATCTGGCTCCTAAACTCACTTTCTGACAAACTTTGGGTAAGTCCCTGGATGGTTAGACCACATTCTATGGGAACTTTAGTGAGGAAAACCTCTTTTAAAGTTGTGAACTCTGGGACTATCATTGAGAGGTGAAAGAGTATCTAGTGAGACTGGTGGCCAGATAGCCATTAATGATTAAGAAGCCAGTAACTGAAGTTTCTCTACACAATTTATTAAGTATAATCTTTAACTGTTTGCTTACGCTGAACTGCTCACTATTAAAATGTTGCATAGCCTAACCCTAGTTTCTATGGCTCCCATCTATAGCATCTCACTCTGAAGTATGGCTCTCAAGATGTTGCGTATGTTGTTTTCCAGGAACTTGGGACTCGGCCCTGAAACCAGATCAAACCAGTCAACACCACCAACACTTCAACTGAGTCTGTGTGGGTGTCCAATGGGTGATCTTTTGACTTCACATCCCAAATTTCTGCTGCATATTCATACCAATTTCCTCTGAATTGGCACATGCAACCAATACTGGTTTTGTAACCCTAGTCAAAGGTGCAATTCATGGATAAAGTAAGATACTTGAATGTGTGTGTGTGTATGTGTGTGTGTGTGTGTGTGTGTGTGTGTGTGTGTGTGTGTGTGTGTGTGTTTGAAAGCAGGATTTATTGAGAAGACAGAAAAGCTCCCACAGTGGGAGGCGACCCAAGGGGCTTGCCTTGAATGTGTTTTCTATCAATACCTTCAAGGGCTGCTTCCAACAGAGCCACTTTGGTTGAGTTCCTCACTGTGCCACATTGTTATTAAAGTCAGAATGTTCATATTCGATCCAGAACTTATCTTCAAACCTTAGCCCATGTCAAATAATCCTTGAATAACAGGGAATCATGTGCTGATAGGCTGGATGAGGGGTTGTCTCAGAGCATTTTCTGTGCATCCTCCTACCCTTTTATTTCTTGGGTGGCAGTGGCAGGGGAGCACAAAAAGGACAAATTATGGGCATCTGGATGGGCATTTGGATGACTTGAGAGATGCTTCTGAGGGAAAATAAGTTGGTTATCATCATCTAGAACTTGCTCTGACAAGTTTGTGTTATCTGTTGAAGACTTAAATTCAGGTAGTGACTCAGCAAATGTAGAGAGAGATGGTAAGGAGAAGACCTGAGCCAGTGTGTGAAGAGATACACTAAGAAAGAAGTTCATGGTTTTCCAAGACATCATACTTTATGACGTATTGTAGGACATCGGTGAGTAATTTGAGAATTATAAGAAGCAATGCATGTGAAAATGGTTTTTAAACAATAAAATGCTATCGGGAAGCAACCTAAATGAACTGTTGTTATAGAACTAAACTGGGGTTTGCTTTCCTGGCACAGTAAAACCAGGTATCTACACCAAGGTTTTTGCAGCAATAGAAGGAAAGGTGATTACTAGCAGAGCACCAATCAAGGAAGTCCAGGCAGCTAAATGGTTAAATTCTTACCTCTCCCAATAGCTTTCAGGCAAGGGTTTTTAAAAGCAGGGATAAACTTCAGGAAAGCAGAAACTACAGGCAAATTCGTAAATAAATACCTGGAAGTTATACATTGGTTTAGGCCTAAAAGGGCAGAATACCTTGCAATAGGGGCTTATAGGTTTTAGGTAGATTCAAAGATTTCCTGACTTGCAATTGGTTAAGGAAGAGAAACTATTTAAAAATTTGAAGTCAGCAGAAAAAAAAAAATTAACTGGTTTGGTGGTGTGACTTTCTCCAAGTCCCTCAGTAAGAAACTCAGAACAAAAGACAATAGTCAAAGTTCACTCTTCAATTCCCTTATCTGAGGTCTCTGTGTGACAGTGCATCCATTAGGTGGGGGTTCTTGGTGGGTTCTGAATTTCTGAAAGACAACTGAGGGACATATGTTAAGATGTTATTTTTGTTTCCAAGATGTTATTTTTGTTTCCTTAGAAAAAGCAAACGTGTCTGAAACCCTAACTTCCTTGACTATTGTTTTAAGCTACTATTACTTTCTTACTTAAATTATTTATTCACTGATGGGACTAGCCAGATGCCTGGAATTGCTCTTGAAGGAACTTCGGATTTTTCTTTATTTCCATACTGGGGGTCCACAGTCTCCCCAAAAGGGGGTTCCTACTCCGTGTCACTGTGGGGGAATAGTATCCCTTTATATCTGCAGAAATTAGTAGACAAAAGCAGTTCTGGAAGGTAAGTGAACCATTATTTCTGGAAACTGTTAGATGCATCTGCTTCCTAGAGTTCTACCAGTTTCTGTAACAGAAACCTCTTGGGTAGTGATTTC